GTGCGCCATCGTAGTCAGCCGTTTCGCCTTCGTGACAGTTTGCTCACGTGATCGAATCTTTTACTTGTCGTTAGTCCTCACTGAAGTGTCTGTGATGACACCAAATCTTTGTCCCTTGGTGATAAGAAGCAAAAGGGATTGGAACAAATAGAAATTGGGTGTTGCCTGCCCGAAAACACTGCACTACTATGACGCGTTTCGATGTTATTACATCTCATCAGATAGAGTTAGCAGGCATGGAACGCGGGACCATTGGGATGTTAGTTGTGACCACTACCCCTAAGCCATCGGGTCACGACGGGCAACTCTTGGCACAACGGTATACTGAACGATGTCGAGGGTGATTATGAAGTGCACGTTGTGTGGATGGATTGCGAGGCGCAATCTCAATGTTGACCGCGATTCCCATTGAAGTGAATCTTGGTCTTTCGATCACGAGAACCGTAGGTGATGCAAATAGAAATTGGGTGTTGCCTGCCCGAAAACAGTGCACTACTATGACGCGTTTTGATGTTATTACATCTCATCATGGGAATCGCGGTCAACATTGCGATTGCGCCTCTCAATCCATCCACACGTGTACTTCAAGAGGGTTCTAACAAATTTGGAATTCGCAACTGCACATGGCTATGATTTTCTTCTATATGTAAGCCCACTGACTGCAAATCATCATCTTACTTAACTTGCTTTTAGATTTTTGTATGTAGCAGGATGTTAGAGGTGAACATTTGTTTTTGGTGATTCCCCATCTGACTTGTACAATCACATATGGAAAATATCACTGGGAGTACAATTAATTGGATCAAATCGCGTGCCCGCCAGCATTGTGAACCGACAGGTAATCTTAACTAAGACGATTGCGTATCCCATCTAGCGCAACTGGCTTCAGCGTCTTCTACTTTCGCTGGCCAAGGCAGCTGCTTAATCTGGATTGGTTTCTTTTGAGAACGTAACTGAGGTTGAAACATCCGAATATGGATTGCCTGGGCTGTTGCAGGCATCCGGAGGCGTAAGCCTCACGATTGCAACGGCAGGATCCTGTAGATTATCCGAAAGGCACGGTTCATTTCTATTTGGTGCCCGATATCGACAAGGTGAGCCAAAACTGCGCTATTAATAGCCCCAGTGCCACCTTTTAGGTAACCAATGTGGGTAATGCTCATTGACGCGCTTTGACAGATGCCGCGCTCTTCGACCGACATAAGTTGCATCAGGGACGCACTCGAATTGATAGTTGACCACTGAAGCGGTCACCGTCGATAATGTGCCCTTGTTTTACACACAAATGAGCGATTCCGGGGAGAACGTGCACTTCAAATTTGCTGCTTAGAATATAGATTTAACTACAGATGACTGGCTCCTAGCTAGGCGTTCTACGTCCGCACCCTCTTTGAAAAGCAATCTTATGAATAGTTCTTTCTTACCGACTTGAAAAACACTACCTGATATTGTTGTATTATCGTCGTTATTGGTAGATATTTCGCACATTATTTCTGATCTTTTACTCCGGTTCCACTGTGCACTCAGACATTGGAAGCCGGTTTTTTACATGGCCCCTGCTGTTTGCATTTTTGGTCACCATTACGTTTGCGTTTCATTTCAACTTATATGCACCTGTCGCATCAGTACATTCTCCTACTCTGTGTGCTTCCACTGAGATTGCTGACTCTCTGTGTTCCACTAATCCAGATCACCGGCCTCACGCATGTGAACATTGTGGCAAGACGTTCGCTCAAATAGCCCATCTACATGTACATGTCAAATGTGTTCATTTAGGTGAGTGTATAACTGACAGTACTGTCGAATTCATTTTTTAACTCGCTGTTCACCTTCTTTCATGATGTTATTTACTCTACCTAATTAGATGTATTTGTACACATGCCCGCTGCTCTCACTCGTTGCAGTAATCTCTTTATCTACAGAAGGTTGAACCATTCGCGTAGTTTGATGCAAAGTGAATGGGTAACTTGAATTGTTTGCACCGCTAATGCGGACAGTTCGACTGCCGTAGCTTGGTCACATGCTCCGCCTACCTGTTGGGTGTTTGCCTCCCCGTGCACTATTTGCGCGCACATAAGTCGGCTGGAAGCGAAGCTGAGGTGGCTAGCGAATGGCTTGGACTAAAAGTATGAAGGTGCAAGCCTCACATTTGGCCTCGGTCGGACGCTCTCGACTCCCTGGTTCGGGAGCAACGATCACGACACATATGGCTGGAAATGCTATCGGACATGTCGAGAAACCGTACTCATCGACGAACTTACTGTGAGACTCTGCCCTCATTATTGCGATTTTGCACTACCTTTATATATATATATATATATATATATATATATATATATATATATATATATATATATATATATATATATATATATGGGTAAACAAACTGTCATATTTTGCCAGGAAGTCTCATCCAAAAAAGAAGGATGAAAACTCAGTCAGTTCACTCTCCTCTGTGATCCAGGAATATTCACTAGACCCTTTCCATTCTCATTGAATTTATGGTTTGTATTTGACGATCCAATATTCCTTTTCCAACATTCATCACCGCCTTCATCACTCGAGCTCACATTGTCTGTGTCACTTGAAATGGAAACGTATTCTTGGCGAAATTCTGACTCCTCGCATTCTGAATCAACCAACGTGTCGATCACCTAGACCTACTTCGCTTTCCTGTTGAAGTGCTTGGTTCATCAGTCACTCGTCTCATTGTAAATTTTCCGAATTTTTCACATCAAACCACACGAAGTCAATTCAAACACATGAGAGCAGACGTTTGCAATATCTAACCTTGCGTTTTTACCACCATTGGTTAGTTATTTTTACTTTGTGCCGCATCTTTTCACGTACTAGGCAAAGTACCGAAGTTTAGGTGCAGGGGTATTAGCGACCGTTTCGGAAATTACCGCAAAATCGTTACAGCCGTCTGGTACGGTTAAGGCATTATTTACACACACAGCTTGGCCGCCACCTTGACCATTTAGGCCACCGCTAGCAAAAGTCGTGAAGCCAAGAACAAGTGGTCCCATGCACTGAGCTTAACCTTGTTTCCCTTACGAGCACAACATGCAGGTTAGAGAAGAATGTAACGAGTCGCAAATGACACATTTTGTTATATGGACCTAGCTACACCGCTGTTGGGAGCAGCGTTATCAACTTATATATTTAACAGATTGTTGGGAGCGAGGTCCTGCAAAATCTGGCTGTATTTTTGAGCCCATCGGATTTTGAGCCGCTATATGGCTGGTTTGCCGAACAAACTCCTCGCGGTACCAACTGTGTGGTTCTGGTTGCGACACCCTCACATCGCCCTGCTGCCTTGTTGTTTAGTTCTTTGATCAAAGGCTCGGGATAGGGCCCCCTAAGACAACCCTCTACTTCAGCCTGGGCAACCGTGTAGTATCACGCCCACTGACGAATCATAGGCCATACTACTGCTCCCGCTATGCCTATCTTCTATGCTAACTCAGCTGCTCAACCTCCACTCACAGATCACCCCACCTCCCGTCCTTCACCCATATGGTCAACAGAAATGCAGACGGTGATGCATGCCACGGATGATGCAGTAGAGTATGTTGGTACGTGGTCAGAATGTTTACAGTGCTCACAATACGTGTCTGAGGAAGATCGTGGAAGTGTACAGGGCCTGGGGGGACGATGCGATGTATACTGACTGTTCCTTGTCGGGTGCAGCATAGGTAAGAAGGGTGTCAAATGAGCTTCCCAAACATGGAGTTCCCAAGAAATGTAAACATATATCTGTCCTTGATTATGACCTAGAGTTTGAAACGTATTGCGATAGTGGACTTCATGCTGAAGTCAGTACTCGAAGACTGATGAAGGTTGTGCGATAGAGGAATTCCATCATCGGGTGCCAGCATGCTAATGGCGGACATCTGTACATATGGCTCACATAATGTGAAGAGAAGGTGGAATTGCAGTATGATTTGTGGGATTTAATATCTTTGTGCGAGTTGGAGTAGGGCAATATTTTGCAGGTGCAATCTGACAGTTTTTCATTTAGTCGTTAGGTGTCTGGCGGCTTTTGTTCGATCGCTATAGACTGCTCGCCTTAAGCAGCCATTTGAAGCATTCTTCCCTTGGGACCTCACTCTAATGCCGTCTGTATTTTCTGAATTTTTAATGAAACGTCGTATAGCCACGCAAAAACAGTGCGACAAGAGCGACGCATGGTCGCTATATTGTGCTCATTCAACTCACCAACCATTGTTTCCCAAAATTGGGGTTTTGACCATCAGTCGAATCCGAATGCTTTTGATGATCAGTGCGACTTATCATCCCAACGACTTCCATCAATCTGAAGAATCAATGTTGTTACATGGGATTGTAGTAGGTGTGATAGTGTTTTCCATCTTGACAAAGCGAATATATTTTCCACAGTCGATTACTGTTCTTTGTTGCATCATATCAAAGTCGCGAAGCCACTTAGGAACGCTTTGCAGTGGCACACGACCGTTATATGAATTTGCGATAGAACAAATGTGGCCAGCTATTACGTAGCATACATTGTTTTAAATGTTGCCAGACTGGTGAATCTGAAGCAGCCGATGGAACACGCTAGTACTTAGTTCACCAGCAAGCGCCATCCCATTGCGTGTGCATTTCGATGGTTTTTGCTCTTGAATTCTATTCTCACTTTACCTTGAGCTCTTCCAACCCTGTGGAGGCTCTGCATCATATGGACCGAGCTACTGTTAGTCACTGTCTCGCACATACTATTGACATAAATTCTTTATTACCAAGTTACCGCGTACATTTTTTTATCTCTATGCTTCGCACTACACGCTACTTTCTGCGCTAGCCGCCACTACTAAGCAGTAGATTCTTATTGTCCATCATTATTTATTCGCACATATAACATGCTTCACTCCCCATGCGGTTTATCTGCAACAACTCACTTACTCTTTCATGATTTAGGCGAACGCACCTTTAAATGTGATCAATGTGACAAATCTTACGCTCGGAAGCTTCCTTTGGATATGCACATCGGATCTGTTCATACGTGTGAGTGCACGTCTGCTAATTTTCGTCCTATCACATACGCCGCAACACCGTTGCTCCCACATTAGCACTACTAACCATGACCGTTATAATGGATTAACCGTGTTTCGCCCCTCCGACGCCACTACTGAACTGAGCTGCGATTTTCTCCTGCGTGTCCCCCTACTACGGAATGCTGTTATCGTTCCCAAATGCACTATGAAATGTTGGGATAGAGCAGAATGCAAGTGTTTTGACTCGTACACTACGGTGTTCTTATGCTGCTCTTGTTGGCCTATTTTTTGCACACTATTTTTCATCCTCTGCCCTCGTGCGACAAACTGGACCCACATTTGGAAGCCAGTCTTGGTATGACTGATGTTCGCACTTTGGATCACTATCGAGTCTTTGCTTCATTGCATCAGATCATTCCTTAACCTGCGTCTATTTTCACTTTGTACTTCCTCTGTAATTAGTCATTCCATGTATTTCAGATCAACGCCCCTACGCATGTGAACAGTGTGACAAGTCGTTTGCTCTGCGCGTTCATCTACAACAACATCTCAGATCGGTTCACTTTGGTGAGTGTGTAACGGGCAGCACTGTTACATTCTGCTTTCGTTACTCGCTGCTTACCGTCTTTCCTCGTGTTATTTGCTCCCGTAGTCAGCGTATGCCCGCTGTTTTTCTCGGCCTTCTTGAGTACGAAATACATAAGTTCCTCCCGTCGTTTGTCCGTCTATCGCGTTTATATTTTAATGATAAATCCTTCTGTTCTATGTGGTGGTCTGCAGATTCATTTCCTCGGACGTCCGCAACGTCGCTGTAAGCGTATAGACACCAGCCAACTCGGGGAGTCAGACGTTCTGAATGCTTATCAGAGTACCCTGGCATTCGAATTGAGTAAGCGTTCACTGAATACAGTTCAGGTCGCATGTTCACGAGACCGTACTAGCAACAAGCAAATCTTCTTGTGGTAAATCCAGTAGCCAATATGGACAATGGGTCTCTACACAGTCTCTGGAAATCATCGATACTCGCCGGCACATTCCGGTTGGAATCGGACGCAGTGAGACTCGCAAAGACCTCAGGGCGAAACTGCGTGCTAGTCTGAAGTGATACCGCGAATCCTGGTGGTCACATCGTGCATCAGAGATGGAAGTGGCCGCTGCCCTTGGTAGCCATCTTAACTTATTTCGTTTAATACGGGAAACGGGCAGCAGGAGACCTGGTGTTAGTGAAACTATTTGTGACGAGAGTAATGAGAATATCCACAATTTGTCAAAACACTTAGAGCGTTCGGCTGAGCATTTTAAAAGGCAATTTAATCGACCGGAATTGCTAGGTCCTTACCTGCCACTGATCGCCCTACTCCCTGGGCCGTCCCTTTGAATCTGCCCTGACTCAGAAATCAAGCATGAGATCTGACTGATGAAGTTGTATAAAGCCGCGCGCCCAATGAGTTTCATCTATCCCTTTTCAAATTCCGGAGCCTACTCTTTTTGCTCATTTACACGAATTATTAGTGCAGCTGTGGAAGAAGGATACTCTCCCAATCGTTTGGAACCGCTCCGTTTTTGTCCCCATCTTAATGAGAAGCTGACGTTCCAAATGCGGTAACCATAGAGAAATCGGTCTGATCTCCATCGCCTTCAAATTGCTTACATCTGTCATTCTTCACAGTCTGACTAGCGCATTGAGGGCTAGGTTCGTGAGAAGCAAGCCAGGTTTCGTCGAGGTCGAGGCTGCATCGCCCACATCTTCACATTGCGTCAGTTGTTGAATCCTCTTCACATATTGCGACCCACCGTACTCATGTTTCTCGTCGTCGAAGATACCTTCGATTCGGTTGATCGATGTGCACTTTTCCACTGCCTGCTAACCATAAGTGCGCTTGAGAAAAATGTAAGTATTATCCAAACGCTTTACGCGCGTAGCTCGAGCAGAGTGAAGGTTTACGGCAAGCTGCCTCCACTCTTCGATATCTCCAGCTGTGTAAGATAAGGATGCTCGCTGTCACCATTCCTCTTCATCTTCGCTGTTGACGATTCACGGAGATCGCCTTCACACGACACCACAAAGTGGGTGTGGAGTTGCTCGTAGGTGAACGGCTTCTTGTCTCTGAATATTCTAACAACATTACCCTCATCTGTGACAGCGCCCAAACGTGCAAGACTGCACTGAACAGCCTGACACTGACTGTCACCTGCTTGGGGCTATACTTTGCAACCTCAAACTGCAAAGCTTTCCTCTGAGCTTGGCAAAAACCGCTTCCTACACTAACCCTTGATTGTGATCAGCTGGAAGTCGTTCAGAAGTTAACTACCTAACTAGTTGTATCAGCGCTGCTGGAATTTAAACCGAGGTCACAACCTGTGTAGCAAAAGCACGAGGCGCTTTTGCTAACCTTCGCCACTAATGGCAGCTACGCGATATCACTCTCTCCTTGAACGGTGGAGTGAGCAATACACCCGTACCTTCGACCCTACTGTATGGTTGTGAAACTGGTCCATTAGATCAGTCGACATAATGTGGGTAGTTACCCTCGACCACCAGTGTCTTCGCAGTTTGGCTCAAATCTGGTGGTAATATCGTGTGAGCATTGAGCGTGTTCGACGCCTTCTTCATTTCCCAAGAAGAAGTGAACCGCTCAGCACCGTTATATCACACACCAGGCTCAGATGGTTGGGCCACGTGTTGTGCATGCCAGGCCATCGACTCCTTCAGCGTGCGTTCTTTTCGCGCCGACGGTGTGTATGGAAGAAGGGGAGTGGTGGCCAAGTGTTGACTAGTTCAAGTGAAATGAAGGCCCTTAGTTCAAATTTGGCCTTGGTTGGAGCTTCTTGTCTTCCTGATTTGGATCCGAAAGCCGATGAACACGTTTGGCGGCATACACTTGTTGACATGTCTAGGAGCGGATCTCAGTGACTTTTGTGTTGTGAGTTGCCTTGTGCATGCCCCTTCCGCTTATCCTCTCCCTCCAACCAGGATCTCCTTCCTGAAGCATAACTTTTTTGCGGCATTACCGTCGATTGCTTGTCCTCCGGAAGTATACCCATCTGTTACCGATGGCTCTGCTCGCATACCTCTGATTTATCTTTTCTTTTCCATGTATTGCGGCACAATAGCTGAGGGGTTTTCCACATCTGGGTAACGTGTATAATGAATGAATGAATGTTCTCTTCTAAGCTTTAGCTCTGAGACCATGTTCCTAGCTCCAAACCTATTTTCTCTGGGGTTCGTTTGCAAATAGGAACTATTAATCTCCCTTTTCAGTAGCACCCAGTCGTCACGAATTTTTTTCATAGGCTTGATTAGCAAAAGTCCTAAAGCGCATGTTGTGCATATATGGTCCATGCCATCCGTTTGTACCTTTATCTCTTACTGCTCTTGTCAACTGTCGTATGAAAACTGCGCCCACAGACGGTCTATGGTTTGCTCGCACTCTGTCATCCGCGGTTCCACCCGCATACCCGTTATCCGGCTTAAACGCGAAGGGTCATGGTTTGCAGGTTTGCGGATTGGAACAATGATTCATTTGGAGTTGACCCACACAACTTCACTATGTCTACCGCAAATGTATAAGTTCGGAAAACAAATGTGTGGGGTGAGCGTTTGGCGCTTATTCACTTACAATGTCTAACCCTTTCACGACACTTTTTATCCTGCTTAGTGGCATCAGACGGTTTGGCGACCTTTCCGCCGTGCATCATGCGACAGCATGCCCGAGGCATGTAAGAATCCGCACTTATTGCAGTATGGAACTGCACTGTCCAATTTCGAGAATTCGCGGAATTCCTTGGGCTAGTGTATTCCACCACGGCTTCACCTTGCAGTGCACCGCGGATTTTGGTTCCATCAGACCTATGAGGTCAACTACGGGCGCCTTTTGAGAAACATTCCTTTGTGTTCTCTGGACCTTCTTCACACCCAATGAATGCCACATTCTTTCCCAATGCTGGAGCCCGTACGATTGTGCTCTCCTCCACGTAACAGTCGAGACTTAGGTTTCTTTCTCCAAGCCTGTCTAAAATACATGTTTTCTTCTCCACGTATGTTTATATGCCATTCGCTGAGGTAATGGGGGTATTTCTTCGTTGGATGCTTCAGCCCGCACTACTTTTCAGAACTTTCATGCTGATGGGTATTGTACTTGCAGTGGTATGACAGTATTTATATTTGAACTAACATCCGTACATACCATTATTATCTTTTGGTCCCTTTCACACTCAAGTCTCAGCATTCTACCTGTCACGGTTACTCATCGCATGTCCCGCTGGCGTACGATGAGACAGGCAGGTGGATAATCTTGCCTGCTGTTTTGCTTTGTTTCAGCTTGTAATATTTCTCGCGTAGCGAGGATACGAAGCCTATACTAAGGTTCTCGCCTTATACGGCATCGAAAAGCTGTAGACTTGTGGTTTCTTAGGTTTATTCGAGTACCGGACGATTCTTGAGGTTGCGATAGACCATCTTCGACTAATTTTGCGATGCGCATCTGGGAGTTACTAATTTGAACTCTGTAATGGAATTGAACGAGTCGGAATACGACGAGTGAGAAGATTAAGAGCCCGAGACAATAGGCTTAATTCAGCAAGCGACTGAGGTAAGTGTTGTAACGCTTCTACTTTACCTCTGCTCTCTGCCACTGATGACTGTTGTACGGTTGCTAGCTGCCCTATGAGACTGCGACTGTCTGACTTATCACTCACGCGCTAACCCAACCGACGGAATACAGAAGACCAAGGCTCGGTAAACAGGGAGTCTATCTACACCATAAGTTAACTGTATTTATAGGTAGTCGAAACATGCTAGTATAGGAGGTGAAGATCGCTCATTTTTGTGCGTCCGGTTTTCAGCCAGTGTGAGTGAGTTCCACTCCACGGGTTTATCATATTGACGGTATAGTTCGATTCGTTTTACGCGGACTGGTAATTGCTGGCCGATCAATTCTCACTCGATATCCAACTTTAGCTCCGCTTACGTCTCTATTACCTCCCCCTTCAACTTGATTGCTCCTACCTATTTTCCGCACTTGGGCTTGGTCGTAGCTTCTTACCCTGGGGTCCACTTGTAGCCATCGCGGTTGCCTTCTTCTTCGACTTGGCCTGCATGTCACGTCGTGTGGCGTCTGTGCGACCGGCTGTGTTCCGCTTTGGGGATCAGTTCTGTTTTCTAAACCAAATGTATCCAATAGTATGTCCCATTGTGGTGCCGCTGGTTCTTGATCTCTTTGAGTTTTGCCAAGCCGCTGTCGTAGATGATTGATATGTCTGGTCCACTTGTCCTATCCGACCAGTATCTCATAAGTAACTTTACCCCTCTTTCCACTAACCCATCTTTCCGGGGTCTGGAAGTTTCGTGCATATACCAAGTCGCCAATCTTGAACGTGCGAAGCCTGTTATCTTGCCCCCTTCTCGGTTGTCCGTTGCGTTTTTCAACATTTCTGGGAATCAGGCTATCAAATGTCGTTCTAACTTTTCGTCCAAATAGACATTCAGAAGGAGATTTACCCTCCGGTGTGTTTGGATTCGGAGTGTTTCGATACATTCTCAAAAACGGCTGAATGGCATCTCGTGA